ATCGGGTTGGAAAGTGAGGGTGGCTTGCTTGCAGAGCTGCACGCAAGAATAATTGCTGTGCTGGGGTGCAAGATGCGGGGACGCTGTCAGAGAGGCAGAGACAGCTGACTGGCAGCCATCGCTGTTTGCCATGCCCTAGCCTAGTGATGCCCTGAGACCCTGCCCTGCACAATCTACAAACACTCTCAAGCTCCAAGCAGCAGCTTTTGCATATGAATGGCCTTCTCTATTGCAGTTTAACCTAGCAAACTTGCAACCTGGTGCAGACAGCTCCAAAGCCTCCAAGCTCCAAGCAGGGAAGAGAGGACTGTGGCTCCTGCAGGATGGCCTCAGACAGAAGCTGAACTGTACCTCATTGGAGATCCAGAAGCCAGTGTATCTAATGATCAGTGTGAGACACCAGATTTCAATTCTTCACATCCATAAGAGACACATTCGGAAGGCTGACTCAGTGAGCATCAAAGCACCAAAGCCCCACTGAAACCAGGCCTGCACCATAAGTGTGTCTCCAGCGCAGCAGTTCTTCCATTATAGACACAGCGGGTCCTCACAGCCAATTGGCCTGGAGGTCAATTCCGCCCAGTGTACCAACAGCAATCAAAGCTTAACTACACCAAGACTTTGCACTCAGCCCACAAAAGGGTGTACCAAGGGCAACCATCTCAGGTGATTGTGGAAGCTGAGCTGCTGGCCTCTATAGGTCACCTACCACACAGAGCCACTCCATCAACACAGGGAGGCAACCAAAATGCAGAGACACAGAAGCATGTCATGAATGGGAGAGATGGGGGAAAGTAAACTACTGGACGACACAGAGTTCAGAATCACGTTTATAAGGTTACTCAAGAGTCTTCTAAAAACTGCTGAGAAACTTGAAGAGACATTCAAAGACCTTAATGAGAATACAAAAAAAGAAAAAAAAAAAAGAAAAGGACCAGTCATAAATGAAGCATACACTGTCTGAAATAAAGAATATACAGAAACTCAATTGTAGATCAACGTACCCCAAGAGTCAAACCAAAGATTTGGAATATGAGGAAACAAAAAATACCCAACCAGAGAGGCAGAAAGAAAGAAGAATCCAAAAGTGTGAGGATAGTGTAAGGAGCCTCTGGGACGGCTTTAAGTGTACCAACATCCGGATTTTTGGGATGCCAGAAGAAGAGAGAGAGCAGGATATTGAAGGCCTATTGAAAGAAATAATGACAGAAAACTTTCCCTATCTGGTGAAAGAAATAGACTTACAAGTCCAGGAAGTGCACAGAACCCCAAACAAGAGGAATCCAAAGAGGACCACACAAAGACACATCATAATTAAAATGCCAAGGGCAAAAGAAAAAGAGAGAATCTTGAAAGCAGCAAGAGAAAGGCAGTTAGTTACCTACAAGGGAGTACCCATACAACTGTCAGCTGATTTCTCAACAGAAACTATGCAGGCCAGAAAGGAGTGGCAAGAAATATTCAAAGTGATGAACAGCAAGAACCTACAACCAAGATTACTCTATCCAACAAAGCTATCATTCAGAATTGAAGGTCAGATAAAGAGATTCACAGACAAGGAAAAGCTAAAGGAGTACATCACCACCAAACCAGTATTACATGAAATGCTGAAGGGTATTCTTTAAGAAGAGGAAGAAGAAGAAGAAAAAGGTAAAGGTAAAAACTATGAATAACAAAAAGACATCAAATACATTCCTACCAACAAGTGAATCTAAAAATCAAGTGAATAAAAAATCTGAAAAACAGAATAGACTGGAGAATATAATAGAATCAGGGACATAGAAAGGGAGTAGACTGACAATTCTCAGGGGGAAGGGGTCTGGGGGGTGCAGGAAGAGATTGGACAAAAATCTTACACCTATGAATGAAGACAGTGGCAGGGGTAAGGGCATGGGGTGGGGAATCAGGTGGAGGGGAGCTACGGGGGGGGGGGGGGGGAGAGGAACACCTGCAATAATCTGAACAAAGATTTAATTTAATATATATAAAAAGATAGTTTGCCTGTTACTGGAATTTGCCTGCCTAAGGGCTACAGGTGGATCCCAAACCTGAATAAAAGGGATTGCAAGGCCAGAAAATAAATAAATAACAATGTGAATGTTTCCCCATTAAAATTAGTTCCTTTATTTACAACTAAAATAAAATTGTTTCAAATATGGGTAAAGAAAAACTCAAATCTATTTGCTCTGTTCTATAAATATTTTGCAAACAAATCATGAAATCTTTTAATATATAGTGTTCTCGTTATCATGAGTAACCACAGTGAAACTATTGATCAGAACTCTGTAGGATCAGCCCAAACCGGTTTGGCTCAGTGGATAGACTAACATCGGCCTGCGGGCTCAAGGGTCCTGGGTTCGATTATGGTCAAGGACATGTACCTTGGTTGCGGGCGCATCCCCGGTAGGGGGTGTGCAAGAGGCGGCTGATGGATGTTTCTCTCTCATCGATGTTTCTGACTTTCTATCCCTCTCCCTTCTTCTGTAAAAAATATAAGAACTCTGTAGGATCACTTACATACTCTCCTCATCCTGCCAAACACACCTTACGAACTTGATAAATTTGGTATGAGGAGAGATGGAGCCTTAGGGCTATGTCCTAGTGTTCATCCATGATTTTTACCAGACCCAGAAGAGTAGACCAGCTTGACTAAAACAAAACAAGCTAATTTTCTCCCAGCATTAAAAAGAAGCAAAACCATTGGCCACCTACCCAGGGAACCCAGACACCTGTTTGGGAAGAAACAGAATTTTAAAGTTACTCCCTGTTTATCTACCACCTTCAACTGAAGATCTCAAAACACTGTGCAAGCATTAAGCCTCTAAAGTCAGGAAAGGATCAGGCTTATTTCAGGTAAGAAAAATAAAGTAGGTAAGACCTGTTAACAATAGGAATCAGGAAAGAAAATCGATTCAAGCATCCTTGGCTCTCTCAATGTTGTCCTTAGAGCACGCTTGTTGAAATGACCCAAACATTAACATCCCCATAATGCTGACAAACCATGCTTTTTAAAACAGATAGCGAGGAAAGTATTAAACTTGAGTTAAGATCAGTGTTTACACTTGTTACATGCCTCTGAACAAGTCACTCACTTTATTTAAACTTCAATTCCCTCACCTATAAAACTAGATCAAATTTACCTTATCATGTTGCAGGGATCAAATTAAATTATATATGCCTGGCATATGTTGCCAGCTTGCTTTCTTTCCCCAGACTTCACCTTCTTTAAACACACAGACAATACATTAAAAAATATTATACATAAAAATTCTTTTAACTAATTAAAAAATAAATTCTGATGACAACTTATGGCTAAGATAGAAAATGGCCTAATTTTTTAATAACTTCAAAATCAGGAATGGTTTGGAGTTGTCGTCGAGATTGTAAATTAATTCCTGTCCCTTTTTATTGATGTGAACAAAGTCAAGAGTTGGACTTCAGAGGAATAATAAACAAAAAGAAGCTTTTCCAGAAAGATAAACAGTGGTGCCACATTTCTTAGTTAAAATTCAAGGAAACTCACATCTCAAAAAAAGGAATGAATATAACTATTCCAAAGTGAACAGTGTTCATTTAAATTCCTTTGGTTCAGAAAATAGATCAATAGTCTCTGTAATATGTGAATACCATAACATTTAACCTCTTAAGGCCAGTTAGATCACCAGATATAAGCAAAAACTTCTAAGAGCCTACATAGTTCTTTCTGATACTTAACTGAAAGTGAAAGTGATTTACCATAAACACAGGAATTGACAACAACTTCAGAGTAATTTAGAAACCCATCTCGGTGAGGTTAAATAACACACCCCTCTCTAAACAAAGTCTGGTAGATAAATACAAGCAGCTAACTTTTTTATTTACTCCCCTGAACAGTCTGTGCCGGCTTCTTCTGAAGGAGACAAACAGCAGCAACACGGAAATCTTAAAACAGCCTTGACATACAGGCTACAATGAAAAGTCCTTAACTCCCTGGAAGCAAAGATCAGGAAGCTTTTTACTGGCATTCCATTTACCCACGGCAAGGAGTCCTTAGCATCCTTCTGTCCCCAAACATGACACACGAGAATAAAAGGATCTTCCCAAGGTCAGAGAACAGGTGATGGCACGCCTGACTCCCAACCACAGGAGGAGCCCCTTTGCTGCATGCAGCCATTCATGGATGTACTGACACAATCAGATTTTTTTTTTTACACAAGAGGGGAGGAGGGTCTCCACTATAGCAAATCTGTTGATATTATGTCTCTGCAGTTGAGGCATATTTTCTCACTGACCTTAACAATTCAACATACATGGTGCATTAAAAAGACTGTCAAGAACTCGAGATCGGAGGGGCTAGGAGACACATTTCCTCCTCCCCTATCAACCTCTCCACAGCCTTCTTCTGAGTGCCCCATGGCTTCCTGGACAAAGGGTCCACTCCTCACCCTGCCTGAGGCACCGGTGTGGAACCCCCAGGGGGCCCCCCAACAGCTCGGCACAGAGGACACACAATGCTCAGGGTGCCCCGGACCCTCCCAGGGAGCTGTCCTTCCTCATCATCTCCGCCCCAACTTTCGGCAGGCAGAGGGGTGCTCAGAACACACCTTCTGCGGCAGGGCTGGTCTGCCTCCGGCCCGGCGGACACACCCCTCCGGAGCGCTGCCCCCTCAGGATGCTCTTCTCATTCCGCCTTTTGCCATAGAGCCCCTCATGAAGGGGCACCCCTCCCCTCTGGACAGCGGGGCCTTTACCCGACAAAAAAGCCCGCCCTGCCTCCTGACCTGATGGATAGCTCCCTCCCTCACCCACCGCTCAGCCTCCAGCCCAAGCTCTCGGCCAGGGGTGGGGTGCTGGGTGCCGCCACCGCACCCACTGGGGCTTAGGGATGGCTACCGGCTAAACCTCCCTCTCCCGTGGGTCATCCCCCAGCTGTCCCTCCGCACTGGGACGGACACATGGACGGACGGACGGACGGACACACGGACACACAGCCCACCGCCGCGCCACGCCCCCGCGCTCACCCGCAGTCCGGCGCGGGGCACCAGCGGCAGTCGGGGTCGGCCGCCAGGTAGCGGCGCAGCATGAACTCCTCGTACTTGTGCATGAGCGGCGGGTCGGCGAGCAGCTGGCGGATGTCGTGCGGGTTGAGCCGCTCGCTGCACTCGGGGCAGCTGATGGGCACGCGGCTCTCGCTGATCTCCAGGCGCAGGTAGTGGCGGAGGCAGTCCCGGCACGAGCGGTGCGGGCAGCTGAGCAGGCGGGGGGCCCGCTCGGGCGGCAGCCGCACCAGGCACAGCGGGCACTCCACCTCCTCCGGGCCCGGGCCGCCGCCCTCCGCCGCCTCCTCATCGTCGAGCCCGGGCCCCGCCGCCGCCGCCGCCGCCGCCGCCGCTACCGCCTCGGCCTCCTCCTGGGTCTCGGCGACCGGATCGGCGGGCAGCGCCTCGGGCAGCGGGGCTGGGGCCGCGGCCGGGGCCGGGGTGGGCGGCGGCGGCGGCGCGGCCGGCGGCGGCGGCTCGGCCTGCGGCTTGGCTCGGGCGCGGCGGCCGCGGGCCGAGGCGGAGAAGACGCTGTGGAAGGGGAGGCGCCGGCGCCGGCCGCCGCTGCGGCACTTGGGGTCCGGCGCGGCCGCGGGTAGGGATGTGGAGCGCGGCGACTCGGAGTCCTTCTCAGAGCCCATGGCCCGCGGAGGCCGAGGGGCGAGCGGCGCCCAGCGCCGCCACAGCTCCCGCCTCAGCTCCCCTCCGCCGCCGCCCTCCCCGAGATAGAAACCGAGCAGCTTCAGCGAAGTGGTTATAAAGCCTCCGCCCCTCGCGCCGCGGCCCACTGCGCAGGCGCCGTGCGGGGACACCTCACAACCCCCCCGCCGGGCGCTGGGCGGGGCCGGAGGCGGGGGCGGGGCTTCGCCGCCGGTCACGTGGTTCCAGGACAGCCATCTTAAGGAGACACTAACCCCCAGGGCTTTTCCTGACCTCCTTCCCCAGTTCTAACACCGCATCATCTCCGAGGTGGGGTTTTCGATTTCCCTCTCCTTATGGAGAGTCTGAATGCCACTTCCAGCAGCTGATGCTCTAGTTACTTCATGTGCGAAAAGCAGGCAAGGCTAGATTAAGTGGTGATTCTCAACTGGTCTGGTGATTCCAACATTTCTTGTTATTTTGTTTTCTTAATAAGCAAACACCATCTTCCTATATAAGAAAGAGGGAATATGCAAGTTGACTGTTATGCCATGACAAGATGGCTGTGCCCACAGTGGAAGCGGAGTTTCGATAATGAGCCTTAATGAGCAATCAGCAGGGACCAGAGGCTGCCTGGCTCTGGGTCGGGGCAGGGGACCTGAGGCAGCAGCCCCCCTTGGGGGTGGGACTGGTCAGGTCTGGTCCTAGCCCAATGGGGGGGGGGGGGGCAGCTGGGTCTGGGCCTCCAGTGATTTTGAGGTGTATGTGGGTGGGCGAGGATTTGATTCTGGGTCCCGTGGTGTGCCCCAGACTCTGACAGGAGGAAGGCTTTCATATACATTTTACTAATTTTCTTTCATCTCTGACACTTCTATTATAGAGAAAGGGCAAATAGCAATATTAAAATATTTCCTCTAATTCCCTTTTAATGTGCATGAATTTTGTGCAATGAGGCACTAGTTACTTAATAAAAAAACATAGTCGTTCACTGAGCATCTACAAAGCAGAGGCATTACTGGATAAGACAGACAGGGTCTCCCTATCTTCAAGGGACTTACACATTCCTTAGTCTAGCATCCAACGCTCTCTGTGAGCTAATAAACTTTATTCCTAGGTCCACCTCCCATCCTATCCTCCTGGTAGCTTGGTTACTTACAATTTGTGGAAGGGGGCTCAGCATGTTTTTCGGGGAGGGGCCTGGAAATGCATTTCTTTTGCTGGTTCCCCACTCCTCTGACTGGGGGAAGGATTTGGACCCAGGCTTCCAAATGGGAGGCAAGCAAGCAACTTGCACAGCATGAGAATGTATTAGGGTTAGGTTCGGTTGCAAAGAATGAAAGGAAAAAATGGCTTATGGTAGGAATTTATATCCCTCTTCAGAAAAATAAGTCCAAAGGTAGGCAGTTCAGGGCTGCTCCAGCATCCTCAGCACATGGTTTCCCATCTTAAGGGTACCTCATCTAGTTCACATTCCTGCCAATGAGGAGAAAAAGGAAAGAAAGGCTCATCTTTTCCTTTTAAAAAGGATGCCTTGAAAGGTCTATACATTCTTCTTACATTCTTCTTACATCTCATTACAGTCACAGGGCCATGCTAGGAAATGTAGTCTTTTAACTGGGCACAGGATGCCCCTAAAACTAGGGGCTTTGTTATTAATAAAGAATAGTAGAATGAACATTGGAAGGCAGCCAGCTGTCTTTTTCATGCAGGGCACTTAAAACCATGAGAAAGGTCTCTAGGAATAAGCCCTGAAAAACTTCAAACTTTTAAAGTGAAACAGCAGAAGAGCCAATAAAAGAAACTAAGAAGCAGGGCTGTGAAATAGGAGACAACCAACCAGGTGTGATGTCATAGACACCAGGATGAAATGTTTCCAGGGGCAGAGTGGTCAATTATGACAAACGCTGCTGAGAAATCAAGAAAGAGAAAAAACAAAGAAGTGGTCACTGGATTCGGCAATACCAAAGAGACATGAGGAGGAGCAAAGTGTCTCCTCAAGCAGGAAAGAGGTCTGATGCTGGATGGCTAAACAATTCATGTCCATATATTGGTCAGAATAGGCTAGGCCAGTGGTCGGCAAACTCATTTAGTCAACAGAACCAAATACTGTATCAACAGTACAATGATTAAAATTTATTTTGAGACCTAAGCGATTTGGCTCAGTGGATAGAGCATTGGACTTCGGACTGAAGGGTCCCAGGTTCGATTCCAGTCAAGGGCATGTACTTTGGTTTCAGGCACATCCACAGTAGGGGGTGTGCAGGAGGCAGCTGATCGATGTTCTAACTCTATTCCTCTCCCTTCTTCTCTGTAAAAATCAATAAAAATATATATTTTTAAAATTTTTCTTTTGAGAGCCAAATTTTTTAAACTTAAACTTCTTCTAACGCCACTTCTTCAAAATAGACTCACCCAGGCCATGGTATTTTGTGGAAGAGCCACACACACGGGGCCAAAGAGCCGCATGTGGCTCGCAAGCCTCAGTTTGCCGACCATGGGCTTAGGCTCTGCTGTAGTATCAAGCAACTCAACTATCTCAATGGCTTAATACAACAATGGTATATTTTCCCCAGGCATGCAAAAACTGCTATGGATCAAGACATCTTGCAGGGCAGCTAGCTCTTCTCCACTCTATTGGATAACTCAGAGATCCAGACCACTTCCATCCTGGGCTCCGCCACCTCAGTATGAAGCTTTCAGGATTGCCTCAATTGTGGAAAGAGAGATGGAGAGTTGTGCACCAGCAATTAAGTACTTCAACGTGGAAATGACATGTTACTTCTACTCACAGATGATTGGTCAGAACTTGTCCTAAAGGTCCAAGTCCCTTCAAGCCATTTTTGACTGTTCTCAGTGCCCCATATCCTGACCAATGAAAGAGCTCCTTTGAGGACGTGTGTGTCTGTGGTGGGAATGAAGGGTGGGGGAGAGGGCTGCTTGATTACTTGGGTCAGATTGAGGCAAAGGAGATGGGGACCCCTGGTTCTAGGCAGACCCAGATGGCTTTTAGATGATTTTCCCCGAGGAGCTGACAGAAATAGCTGTGAGAATCCTAGCGTGCAGAGAATGTTAGTTTTGGCTCTAGCTCCCAAGCAGAGTGCTCAGCTCAAAGCTGTCACCATCAGCGCTTTGGCAGAAAACTGACCTCATAAATGCCACTGGGCTTTGCAGTGGCCCTATTTCTACTGGGGTTTCTTTTTCCTGAATACGTCACTCTTGAATTGAGGGACTAAAGCAGTTCCTCCTGGTTTTTCTTCTGTGTTTCCACTTGATAGAAATGGAGTAGTGACTCAGGGAGATGGCATGAGAGAGAGAGAGAAAGAGAGAGAGAGAGAGAGACTTACTCATGTATTCCCTTATTCAGTAAACATTTATTATACTTTGTACTAGGCCCTTTGCCAGGCACTGGGGTCATGGAGATGAAAAACATAGCTTAGGGGACAGACAAGAAAGCAGGTCATTGGGATACTAGGTGATGAGGACATGTACAAAAAGCTGAGACAGGCAGAGGGGGACATGGCAAGCCTTGCTTAGGGTGGTCAGGGATGGCTTCCCTGAGGACAAGCCCTTTGAGTTGGGTCTCAAAGGATGAGTAGGAGTTGACAAGTTGTCTGAAGGCATAGAGGTACAAGCATGAGATCAGTCTGAAGAAATGTGGACAGCAGGGTGTGAGAGGAGGAGAGAATGTCTGGAAGCATGCACAAGAGAAGAGAATGGGATTGGGATATCATGATTGATAATCCCTACCTGGACCATATGGTTGAAGCAGGGGCAGGAGAAATTCTTGCATTTTCACAGGTAGGAAGGGGCCAAACATGAGTAGGTGAAATATGAAATGTTCACCAGGGATAGGCTGAGACCAGATCACCAGGAGCTTTGAACACCAGCCTTTATTGTTAGATAGTTGGACATTGTGGGAACACTTTGCTCAAGGAGAGCCATATGTATAATGAAGTTGGCCTGTCTAAATTTGCTTGAGTTTTCTCTTGCCTTTCAAGGTTGCTCTGAAAGTGAATTTTAATCAGATGCTATCTGAATAGTGACTGGGCTCCAGCTCTCACTGGCCTTAGAAGTGACCTCTACCTGCTGTGACCCCTACTTTTCCCTCTGGATCAGGAGTGGTGAATGCCACTGAGCCTAGTCAGTCCGATTTGAGTTGCCTCCTGTCTCCTGGGTCTCCAGGCACTTCCTCTTTGCCACGTGCTCAGTGAGTGACCTCCCACCCACCAAAGTCCTCCTGCTTCTGACCCCCAGTCCAAGTTCTGTTTCTTTCCAAAGTACTTTTAAAAAATATATATATTTTATTGATTTTTTTTTACAGAGAGGAAGAGAGAGGGATAGAGAGTTAGAAACATCAGTGAGAGAGAATCATTGACTAGCTGCCTCTTGCACACCCTCTACTGGGAATGTGCCCGCAACCAATGTACATGCCCTTGACAGGAATCATACCTGGGACCTTTCAGTCCGCAGACCGACACTCTATCACTGAGCCAAACCGGTTTCGGCATATTTCTCTCCAAAGTACATACAGAACCTCTTCCTGGTTCCGGCCTCTTTATATCTTTTGACTGGACTTGGCCCCAGCTCCTCAATTGGCCTGTTTGTGAAGTCATCGGCTCATGTCAATCCCTACTCAAAAATTGTCTACAGTGCCCACAATGCGCCTTATCTCCTTCTGTGCGTCTTGGAATTGAGCCATTTGAATTTAAAAAATATATATATTTTTATTGATTTCAGAGAGGAAGGGAGAGGGAGAGAAAGATAGAAACATCGATGAGATAATGAGAGAGAATCATTGATTGGCAGCCTCCACAAGCCCCCCACTGGGGATCAAGCCCATAACCTGGGCATGTACCCCGACCGGAAATCGAACTGTGACCTCCTGGTTCATAGGTCGACCCTCAACCACTGAGCCATGCAGGCTGGGCCATTTGAGCTTCTTGATGTTATCTAAACATCTCACAATTCTCTAACCAGACTCTTTGCAAATGCTGGTTTCTTTGCCTGCTACGCCCTTTCTCTCCTGCTCTGTTTGTTGTAATTCTATACATACTTGTGACTCGTTTCCATGGCCACTCCCTCCCGCCCTTCACCTTTTACAGT